AGGAGCCCCCTGGGAGAGAGGTGGCTTTGAATGGCTCTTGATGTTTCTCTGGTCACTGATGTGTGTTGCTAGAGCCCAGAAGGGGCCTGGCGAGCCCTGGGTTGTGAACGTAAAATGAGGCCTTTTCCCGATGTGTTTTTTTTTCTCAGCTCCCTTTTTCCACAATGCCCGTCCCTGGATGGCAGCTCTGGGTGTGCTCCTCCTGCTTTTAGTGATTTGTTTTGCTGTCAGTGCTTATCTCTTCCAAAGGAAAGGTGAGATTGTAGTTGGGGGGATGGAGTGGAGGGGCTCAGGGGTTGAGTGAGGCCCATGGACATACACAGAATGGGATCAGAGTTGTGTCAGAACAGGTTTTGCCTTCATGAAAGAAGCTCTTTGGGCAAAGGGAGGATGGGGAGAAGACACAGGGTGTGGGTGGGAGAATAGGGAGCACGGGCAGAGCATCTGGCTGGTGGGAAGGTCAAAACACCCTGGGGAGATGGTGCCAGGGATGAAGCAGCTGCTCTCCTGACCTCTTCTTTTTCTGCCTTTCCTTTCCAGTGGTGCAGTCCAGAGCACTGGGTGAGTCCTTCTGGCCCCTGCCACCAGCAAAGCCTCCTGAGAAAGGAGCCCCCTGGGAGAGAGGTGGCTTTGAATGGCTCTTGATGTTTCTCTGGTCACTGATGTGTGTTGCTAGAGCCCAGAAGGGGCCTGGCGAGCCCTGGGTTGTGAACTGGGCACAGGAAGTGTCCTGGCTCATGGGAAGAAGCGGGGAGCAGTATAAAATGAGCTTAAATCAGCTGAGCCTTATGTCTCTGCTTAAGTCAGGTGTAACTGTGAAATGCCTGGGTGGGCTGGGGTGGGGATAGGAGGGCAGGGAGCCCCCTTGTAAGCCAAGGTGGCTTTTCCCATTCCCCAAACAGAAGAAATTTGGGCTCAGCCTGACCTCTGCCTGCTCGGCATGGGGTGCGAAGCTGTCCCTTTTCATCACTCATTGCTTCTGTTTTTCCTTTCCAGGGAAACAAGTTTCAACACTGGGTGAGTCTCTGTGAGCTCCTCCTGGCTTGGTGTCCCCTCCCGGGTCCTCTGTGCTGGGCCCCTTCCCCATCCCCTCCATCCCTACATCCCTTGGGTGCGGGCCTGCCCAAGGGAGGTGCCTGGGGGGTTGGGCAACTCGGGGACACCGGACCAGGGATGGCCCTCTCCCCTGCCCAGAGTCCCTGGGCACCAGCCACGGGACATGACCAGGCTGGAGGGAGCCATCCCTGGGATCCAGGAATGTTTTCCCACTAACCAAAAAGGAGGAATTTGGGGATTCCCCAGCCCTGCATGCTCCTTCTTGAGCACTTTTGGGATGAGAAGCTGTCCTCTCTGACCACATATTGCTTTTGCTTTCCAGAGGAACAAGCTGCACTGTTGGGTGAGTCTCTGTGAGCTCCTCCTGGCTCAATGTCCTCTCCTGTGCTCCCTGTGCTCTGCCCTTTCCTCCCTTGCTAGAGCAGGGATGGCCCCGTTACCATTCCCACAGTCCCTGGGGACCAGTGGTGGGATGTGACCTGCTCCTCTCTCTCCTTGTAGCTTGGAGAAAGTTTCTGCTTCCTGAAAATCCAGGTAATTGGGTATTTGATTGTATTTTTCTTCTCCCTTTTCCTCTGTGAGTGGTGTAACTTGGATGCAGTGAAGGGACTGGCCATGCCTGAGTGTGTTGGTGGCCAATACCTCCCAGACCTTGGCACTGGGATGGATCTCACCCCATTTTCTTGCCATTCCACCCCATTCTGAACTACATTCTGGAGCCCAGAAGCACCATCTCCCTCCAAGACCCCACCAGTGCCTCTTCCCAAGGGTCTGAGCTTGGCTGTGTCCGTGCTGGGGCCAGCCCTGTGGTGGGGCTGGAGAGGAGGAAGGAGATGCTCACTCTCCTGCCCTGTGGTGCACATCCTGGCACTGGGGGGGTGAAAGCTGCTCAGGACTGAGCGCTGATGCTCCTGCTTCTCCTGTCCCCTGCAGACGTGGTGACCCTGGATCCAAACACGGCTCATTCTGGACTTGTCCTGTCGGAGGAGTTGAAACATGTGAAATGTGGACCCATGTGGCAGAACCTGCCCGACACCCCCGAGAGATTTCGTTATTGGCGCTGTGTGCTGGGTCAGGAGATGTTCCGGGAGGGGAGGCACTGCTGGGAGGTGGAGGTGAAGGGGGAGGTGGGAGGTGATTCATGGTGGGGTGTTGGAGTGGCCAAGGAGTCCGTGGAGAGGAAGAGGAATGAGTTCCTGAGCCCTGAAGTAGGTGTCTGGGCAGTTTTGCACTGGAAAAGGAAGTTAGAGGCTCTCACCTCTCCTCTCACCGTCCTTTCCAAATCCCTGGTCCCCAGTAGGATCTGGGTCTGTCTGGACTGCACACAGGGGCTGGTGATGTTTCTCAACGCTGACACCGGGGTCGAGATCTTCAGTTTCCCACCAGCCTCATTCCATGGGGAGACCCTGCGGCCCTGGTTTTGGGTGGAAACGTGGAAAACCCAGCTGTGCCTCAGGGGCAGCACCCGTGAGACCCTCAGCCCCACTTCAGCCCCCACCACAGAGTCCGGCAGACCGTGTCCTTCTCCAGAGACTCCCCACTCTCCTCTCCTCGACCCTGTAGGAGATGTCCCTCTCTGTCCTGTCCCCGCCCAGGGACCAGAGGGGGACTGAGGGACAGAGGCTGCTGTGGGGTCGCCCCCCCGGGGTTGGGAGGCTCCAGGCAGTGGGGGGTGTCCTCGTTTCAGCTTTGATGGAGTTAATTTTCTTTCTAGCACCTGCTCCGTTTAGGATTTAGTGTGAGAATGCCATTGATCACACAGGATTATATACATGGCTGAGAAATGTTCACATCAGTCAGGGGCCTTTCCAGCTTTCTCTCGAAGCTGAGAGGAAGCGCAGTCAGGACGAGGTGGCTAAAGGGATATTCTACCCCACTGATGTTGTGTTGGGGATAGAAACAGGGGCTGCCGGGGGGCTGGGACCCTCCATCACTGCTGGGGCTGGGCAATCAGTCCTCAGGTTCTGAAGGGCAACTCGTGCTGTATCCTTGTATTTTGTGTATTTTTTTACAATTAATAATGTTATTTTTTTCTCTAGTAACTGTTGTCTGTAACTGTTGTCTTTATTCCAATCCACGAGGTGTTTTCCCCTTCTTTTCTCCCTCTTCTCTCCCCCCTGGTGGGGGATTAGGCAGGGGGGTAGTGAGTGAGTTGCTGCCTGCGGGCAAACCATGCTCAGGGGCCAGGGAACTCTTGGACCCCCGTGGACCCTCCGGGACCCCCCTGGAACCTCTTGCAACCCCTTGGAACACCTTATCATAGAATCATAGAATGGTTTGGGTTGGAAGGGACCTCAAAGATCATCTAGTTCCAACCCCCCTGCCCTGGGCAGGGACACCTCCCACTAGAGCAGGTTGCTCAAGGCCACATCCAGCCTGGCCTTGAACCCTTCCAGGGATGGGGCAGCCACAGCTTCTCTGGGCAACCTGTTCCAGTGTCTCACCACCCTCATAGTAAAAAAATTTCTTTCTGATATCCAATCTGAATCTTTTTTCTTCCAATTTAAAACCATTTCCCTTGTCCTATCATTACCCTTCCTGGCAAAGAGTCCCTCTCCAGCTCTTCTATATATACCCTTCAGATATTGAATACCTTGCATCCCCTGGGCTCTGCCTGACACCGTACTCACCGTGAGCATCCTCCTGTGCCACATGACACTTTTCTTAAGAAAACTGTTTTTTCTGTACCCAATTCCCTTCCCAGTTGGGCACTGGGTGAAGGCAGCTGTATTTTTTTTGCTTATATGGGGGATTATTGAGTCCATGAGTGGAAGCATCTTTGTCCCAGAGCAGCTTTAGGTGCAGCAGAAGAGTAAACGTATGACCGTGGAATAAATTTTCCAGCCTGGGGCTATGCCAATCTGTGGGTACAGGCCCCACGAGCCCCAGACCCTGGTATGCCCCCAAACTCGGAAACTCTATACCCACCCCTGCTATGGGTACAGCCCATTGCCCCTCCCTGCACCCCTTCTTTTGGTTATGGATGTGGATGGGACATTGGGGACAGCAGGGGACACGTCCTCCCAGGAATCTGAGGCCCCCAAGTTGACAGGGCAGAGGGACAGGGCACAGATGGATGTCGCCACAATCAAAGCCCCCCAGACCCTTCTTTCCCCTCATCCCTGACTGCCCACAAGCTCCTGGCTGTTGTGGGGCTGCAGGGACAATGCTGGGCTTCTACACCATGTCCAAAAATCACAACCAAGCTCTCCATTCTACACAATAACCCCCCTCAAACCCCTAAGATCCTTCATTTTCCATTCTTTTCCTCCTTTTTTTTGGTTCCTGGGATTGATGGGATGCCGAGTTTTCCTACCAAATAGAAATGTCCTGAAACCCCCAAGAGATGGATGGAGCAGAACTGGTGCAGGTGGATGATTCATCATGGTCTGGTTGGGGGTTTACTCCTTCCTTTGTGACAATGGTCATACACAGGACAATCAGACCTATTTGGGGAAAGAAGAACCCACGCTTATTTCTGGCTGCAAAACCTCGCTGATGTCTCTGCCCCAGCACAGGCTGCTGGGAGAGGCACAGCCCTGGGAAAAGCCACCTGCAACGCCTCCCATCCAGGAACCGGGAGGGTGATGGGTTTCCTTTGGTGCTTTGCCCTTGGTGGTTTCTTTTATGACAGTGGACTTGTTGATGTGGATCATCTCTGAATGAAGAACCTGAGCTCACGATGTGGGAGGTGGAGCCTTAAACCGCTCCCTGGAATTCTGGACCCTGGAACTGGGCAAAGGTTGGAGATGGTGGGTGCAGCTCCTACAGCTCGGGTGAGTGAATTTCCTTTCCGCGAGGGATTTAGAATATTGAACTACTTGAAAGTCTTTGGAAGGGATTTTGAGGAAATCCTGGGGAGGGCAGTGGGTCAGAGCAGGGGCTGAACTGGGAGCCATACATGGTCCCATCCTGCCCTCCCCCAGGGGTTCCCTCTGACGTCAGATGTTTTGGTGGGTTTTCTGGATTCCACTGGGAGCAGGTGCAGTCCTTCTTCCCCATCCCCTCTGCGGTGGCTGGAACCTCCCCTTCTCTCCCTCTGCCTCCCTTCCCACCCTCCCCTCCAGCTCCAGATGCAGATGGGGTTCCTGGCAAGCCCATGGAGCCTCGTCAGTCATTTCCTGACACTCCACCTCCTCCAGCTGGGATCAGGTAGGGATCCTGGAGGGCTGGGGGGGCGGGGGGGCGGGGGCTGTGTGTTCTCCGTGTGGCAGGTGTGGGTCAGGGGAGCTGCTATGGGGCAGGAGGAGGTGAGCCCAGAGCTTGGCCACGCATGGCTGTCACTTTCCCTTGGTCTCATGATGTCACATGTCCATTGCCCTGGGAAATATTCAGTCCCAGCCTGCAGTGTCCCCCAAAGCCTTTGTCCCTTCTACCAGGGCTGGCTGAGTTTGGGTGGGGGTCATTTTTGGGCTGGGGGGTCATGGTTTTCTGGAGCAGGTTCTCACCCCCAGGAAACCTCCTTCTCCTCCAAGTCTTCCCTCTCCCTCTCCAGTTTTCTCCAGAGTCTTTGGGCCATGGGGAGGGCAAAGCAACACCTGCAGGAAGGAGTGGGCACTGCTCACACCAAGCTGGCCCCTTCCCATGCGATGCTCGTAAATTAACCTGGGTGCGATCTCCATCCCTCTGTGTCCTTCTCTGTCACCCAGCGGACTTCAGAGTGGTGGGGCCAAGCCGACCTCTCCTTGCCACCGTGGGGCAGGATGTCGTGCTGCCGTGTCACTTGTCTCCACGCATGGACGCTCGGAGCTTGGAGATCAGGTGGATTCGGCACCAGCTTTCTGAAACGGTGCACCTCTACCGAAATGGAGAGGACCTGCACAAAGCACAGATGGAGGAATACATTGGAAGGACAGAGTTGGCCAGAGATGGCCTCTCCGGTGGGAGCCTGGACTTGCAAATCTCTGAGTTGAGACCATCTGATGATGGCCAGTATGTCTGCACTGTGCAAGATGCTGGCACCTATGCAGAAGCTATGGTGGAGTTGGAGGTGGCAGGTTTGTGGCTGCTGTGGTGTGTCCTGGGCACATTCCAGATGTCTGTGGGTTGGTGTGTCCCTCCCAGAGCTGTGTCCCATCCTCAGGTCCATTCATTTGTTGCCAAAGGCCAGGAGATGTGGAAAGAGGTCAGATGTGAGGGGGATCTTCCCATCCGTCCCTGGCCTGAATGGAGCACTCATGTGGTGCTGGAGGTGTTTTGGGGGCAGAGGAGCACAGATACGATGGCTTTGGGTCTCTGTGGTGTCCTCGTGATGCTATGTTCATGCAGAGACCCTCCCTTGAGGTGCCAAACCTTGGCCGCTTGGTGCTCTTCTGCCAGGCTGTTTTATGGGAGATCTGGGGTCATTTGGCATCAGTGGTCTCTGGTTCCTGCAGATGTTGGGATGCGTTTGGTGAAGAGTACATGGCCAGCCCCACAGCCCCCTGAGCACCCTGGGATGGTTCTGGCCTGGGGTTGGTCTTAGCTTTTGAGCTGGGTCCATCCCTAACTCAGGGCAACCCCGGGCTCTTCCCCCAGCCTTGGGCTCTGTCCCTCTCCTCTCTCTGGAGGCGTACGAGGATGGAGGCATCCGGGTGGTGTGTCGATCGGCCGGCTGGTACCCGTCACCGCACGTGCTGTGGAAGGATGACAATGGGCAGCATCTCCCCTCGGTCTCCCAGAGACATTCCCCTGATGAGAGGGGCCTCTTTGAGATCCAAGATGTCGTCATTGTGAGAGGGAAGGAAAATGGAAACGTGTCATGCGTGGTGAGGAACAACCGCCTGGAGCAGGAGCAGGTGTCGATCCTGCACATCTCAGGTACAGGATGGCAGCAGGGCTGGGGTTGTCCATGCTGCTTGAAGGGGTTTGATCTTATGGGGCTGGAAAAACCTGCAGGGGGTGAGGGAAGGGGAGGGGTTGCACCTGCAAGTGGGTTTTAGTGCAGGAGATAACTTGAGTTTGGTGTGCTTCAGGGGAGCATTGGGTTGTCCATGGGATGGGGAGGAGGATGTCCCCTTGAGCCCAGGGCTCCTGGCACAAGACTTGAGGAATTGGAAGCTTGCGGTTGCTTTGGGTTTTTTCTTCTCCTCACACAAGGGAATGTAAAATGAGGCCATTTCCTGGTGTTTGTCTGTTTCTCAGCTCCCTTTTTCCACAATGCCCGTCCCTGGATGGCAGCTCTGGGTGTGTTCCTCTTGCTTTCAGTGATCTGTTTTGGTGTCATTGCTTATCTCTTCCGAAGGAAAGGTGAGTTTGTTGTGGGGGCTCAGGGTTGAGTGAGGCCAATGGATGTACGCAGAACAACATCAGAGTTGTGTCAGAACAGGTTTTGCCTTCATTAAGGAAGCTCTTTGTGCAAAGGAAGGATGGGGACGAGGACATGGGGTGTGGGTGGGAGGAGATGAGAGCATGGGCAGAGCATGTGGCTGGTGGGAAGGTCGAAGAGACCCTTTGGAAATGGTCCCAGTGATGAAGCAGCTTCTCTCCTGACCTCCTCCTCCTCTGCCTTTGCTATCCAGTGGTGCAGTCCCGAGCGCTGGGTGAGTCCTTCTGGTCCCTGCCACCAGCAAGGCCTCCTGAGAAAGGATCCCCCTGGGAGGGAGGTGGCTTTGGATGGTTCTTGCTGTTTCTCTGGTCACTGATGTTGGTTTCTGGAGCCCAGAAGGGGACTGGAGAGCCCTGGGTTGTGAACTGGGCACAGGAGGTGTCCTGGCTCATGGGAAGAAGCAGAGATGAGCACTGAGTGAGCTTAAATCAGGCTGAGCCTTAAATCTCTGCTTAAGTCAGATGTAACTGCGGAGTGCCTGGGTGGGTGGGGTGGGGATAGGAGGGCAGGGAGCCCCCTAACCCCCGGGGAGCTAAGAAGTCAAGACTTTTCCCAATCCCCAAACATAAGGAGTTTGGGGTCAGTCCAGACTCTCCCTGCTTGCACCATGGGAGTGAAGCTGTCCCCTCTTATCACTCATTGCTTCTGTTTTTCCTTTCCAGAGCAACAAAAAGCAGCACTGGGTAAGTCTCTGTGAGCTCCTCCACATCAGTGTCCTCTCCTGGTCTCTCTGTACTCGGCCCCTTCCCCTCTTGCCTGTCCTCTCCATCCCTGCATCCCCTGGATCCAGGGAAACTGCAAGGGGATGTGCCCAGGGGGATGAGCAGCTTGAGATCTCCAGACCAGGGATGGACCCTTTCCTCTTCCCAGAGCCACTGGGGACCAGCCATGGGATGTGACTGGCTCTTGTCTTTCCTTGTAGATTGGAGAAAGTTTTTGCCTCTTGAGAATGCAGGAAATGTGGAATTTTATAATTTATTTTATGTTCTTTTATGGGTGGTTCTTCTCCCCTTTCCCTCTGTGAGGTGTAACTGGGCTGTCCAGCAAAGGGACTGGCCATGCCCGGATGTGTTGGTGACTCAGACCCCCCCGGTCCATGGCCCTGGGCTGGATCTCACCCCTGTTTTCTTGCCATTCCACCCCATTCTGAATTACACCGTGGTGCCCCAGAGGTGCCATCTCCCCCTGAGATCCCTTCCACTGCCCAGACCAGCTCCTCTCCCCATCCTGCTACTCCCTTGGGGCTGCAGCTGTGCCGGTGCCTCTTCCCATGGGACTGAGCTTGGCCATGGCTGTGGTGGGGCCATCCCCATAGTGGAGATGGAGAAGAGGAAAGAAGATGCCCAGTGTCCTGCCCCATTGGGTCCCTCCTGGCCCCGGGGTCGGGGGTGAAACCTGCCCAGCACTGAGCTCTGATGCTCCTGCTCCTCCTGTCCCCTGCAGATATGGTGACCTTGGATCCAAACACGGCTCATCCAGAGCTTGTCCTGTCAGAGGATTTGAGAAGTGTGAAGCGTGGACCTGCATGCCAGAACCTGACTGACCACCCCAAGAGATTTAGTTATTGGCGCTGTGTGCTGGGCCAGGAGAGGTTCTGGGAGGGGAGGTACTGCTGGGAGGTGGAGGTGAAGGAGGAAGTGGGAGGTGATTCATGGTGGGGTGTTGGAGTGGCCAATGAATCCGTGGAGAGGAAGAGGGTTTTTAATCTGAGCCCTGAAGAAGGGATCTGGGCAGTTGATGGGTATGAAGGGCAGTTCAGGGCTCTCACCTCTCCTCGCACCGTCCTGTCCCTGTCCCCAGTGCCCAGGAGGATCTGTGTCTGTCTGGACTGCACACAGGGGCTGGTGATGTTTCTCAACGCTGACACTGGGGGTGAGATCTTCAGTTTCCCACCAGCCTCATTCCATGGGGAGACCCTGCGGCCCTGGTTTTGGGTGGAAACATGGAAAACCCAGCTGTGCCTCAGGGGCAGCACCCGTGAGACCCTCAGCCCCACTTCCATCCCCACCACAGCCTCCAGCAGACCCTGTCCTTCTCCAGAGACTCCCCACTCTCCTCTCCTCGACCCTGCAGGAGATGTCCCTCTCTGTCCTGTCCCCGCCCAGGGACCAGAGGGGGACTGAGGGACAGAGGCTGCTGTGGGGTCGCCCTGTGGGGCTGGGAGACTCCAGGCAGTGGGGGGTGTCCTCATTTCAGCTTTGATGGAGTTAATTTTCTTTCTAGCACCTGCTCCGTTTAGGATTTAGTGTGAGAATGCCATTGATCACACAGGATTATATACATGGCTGAGAAATGTTCACATCAGTCAGGGGCCTTTCCAGCTTTCTCTCGAAGCTGAGAGGAAGCGCAGTCAGGACGGGGTGGCTAAAGGGATATTCTAACCCACAGATGTTGTGTTGGGGATAG